ACCTAACTTAACTGAGTGGCTGAGGCTGATTTAGGTTTGAAACAAATTGCTGTTGGACTTCGTTTCAACCCAAAATGGAGCTTTCGAATTTGGAAGCTGAGCTAGTAGCCCACAGTATTTTCTCTTATTTTCGGAGTAAAGTTGGTTTTACACAAAAATTGGTCAGCCTTGAAATACGTAAAAGCTATCGCCCTCTTAGTCTTTCGGATGATGGAATATTATAATTGCCTCGTGCTTTGATTCCTTGCTCTTCCCATCATTCTTGATTTATCAATTGACAATTCTAAAAGATGAGACGGAATCAAGATGCTACTGTGTTCGCGCTTTAATAGGAGCAATAGAATTTATTCTAGAAACGTCTGACAGAATTTAGAAAAAGATGAGATCGATAAATATGCATAGATCGTAAAATGGGGAAAGAACGAAAACTATAGAAAAATTAATGCAGCTAATTAACCGTATACAGTTCATGTGTGAGCAGTACCATTCGCAACTTTTACAAACCGTCGATATCGCCTCGTTAAAGAAACTGGTCACTACCAATTTTTGAACAACAACTCAGTAGATTTGCTAAACGTAGGAGGTTTGTTTACTTTAAGCAGCTTTAGCGTTGACTATCTTGCAAAAAAAATGTGTGTTTTACTCTATGGTCGGTGGCATAATCCTGAACGCCAAGTTTGAGAACGATTTTGACTCTTTAATTTAGCTCTGAAAACTGCTTCGATTTTTGTGGCGCTTGGTTTGTTAAAGTTTGGAATGATTCTGTCAATGCGTTAAGATAAATGTAATCATTCACCTTCATAGAAAGGACGTGTGGTTTTCAAGAAGAAACATATAGTTTCTAACATACTTTTAAGATAAACTGATCTTTCAACAATTTTTGAATGGAACCAATACAGAGAGCGGAAAGATAAGCATTATGTACAGCATATAACATGATTTGTAAAAACGCATTAAATTTAAACCTTGCTGCACTAGAGATAAAATAGACTGCCTAAAGAAGGATAGCACGGCATAGTCTCTGAATATGTTTAAGACCGCTGTGTATAAATATCTAGATAGATGTTCAAGCAAAACCGGCTCGGGCACTGGTATTTCCAGGGAGTAGCGCTTGACTTGACGTGGCCGCTGTTGAGGAAGCCCTCTGTAAATATGAAGTTCAAACAATTTATTGATCTCAGTTGTCAATCGTTGATTACCTGCTTCTGAGCATTATCAATCCTCTCAAATGCAGTCAAGTGCCATTTCAAACATCCTCCCACTACAAGCAGAAATACCTCAAGAGCAATAACTACCATGAAGAAAATCAGCCGATATTGGTCTAAGGATGCTTCCGCTCGAGCTGAAAGTTCCTCATTCTTTTCAAAATATGAAAATCACGAGTAATCTCAGTCTACCTTGCAATCTTACTGGAAGAGCAGAAGGTTTCTGCGTATCCTTTATGGGAAAAACGGATATGTACACGACAACTGCAGCTATTTTAATTAAAATCCCAATAATCTGAAAATTTCACATATCAGTAATAAGCGCTATAATAAAAAATGAAACAGTTACTTACGGCTACAAGGCAGCAAGGCCATTGATTCGACCTGCTTTTTGATCGCAGGGTACAGAGAGCGTAAGTAAGAAGGATGCTGGGCACCAAGAGAGAGACAAGCGAAAGTGGATAGTATAGAAGCACGGGAATGATGCTGACAAGAATATAGATTGTGAGAAGACATAGCGCTA